TGTGCTTTGGCATCCCTTTGCTTTGGCATCCCTTTGCTTTGACATCCCAGACATGTGGCATAGGTTGTGTTGTGTCATCATTTGAATTCAAAAGTGATTTGGGCCATGGGCCGCATGGATCTGATTCTATGATATGTTGCGGTCAGTCACACGATATGGTCGGCCATGCAAAATCCTCAACCCTAAATCCTAAACCCTAAACTCGTGCCAGTAAATCGGACATAGTTTAATGTTGATTGATGCAACAATGCAAAGTAAAAATCCAAAAAACAAGCACAAGGAGAGGCCACAAACGGAGCACCAGCAGAGGCACCAGAAAGGACCAAACGGAGCACCAAGAAAGGTGCCGAAAAACACCTTTGGGAGACAGCCTGTCCACGGTAAAGTTGGCCAATTTCGGCTGTCCTTGTCGCCGTGTGCGCTTTGCAAAAAAAACACAATCAGAGACCACAAACGGAGCACCAGAGAGACCAGAGGTTTTGCCAAAACGGAGCACCAGCAAGTCCAATCAGAGAGCACAAACGAAGCACCAGAAAGTACAATCAGAGAGCACAAACGGAGCACCAGAGAGACCAGAGGTCTTCCCAAAACGGAGCACCAGAAAGTCCAATCAGAGAGCACAAATGAAGCACCAGAAAGCACAATCAGAGATCACAAATGGAGCACCAGAGAGACCAGAGGTTTTGCCAAGACGGAGCACCAGCAAGTCCAATCAGAGAGCACAAATGAAGCACCAGAAAATACAATCAGAGACCACAAACGAAGCACCAGAGAGACCAGAGGTTTTGCCAAAACCGAGCACCAGCAAGTCCAATCAGAGAGCACAAACGAAGCACCAGAAAGTACAATCAGAGACCACAAACGGAGCACCAGAGAGACCAGAAGTTTTGCCAAAACGGAGCACCAGCAAGTCCAATCAGAGAGCACAAATGAAGCACCAGAAAGTACAATCAGAGACCACAAACGGAGCACCAGAGAGACCAGAGGTTTTGCCAAAACGGAGCACCAGCAAGTCCAACCAGAGAGCACAAACGAAGCACCAGAAAGTACAATCAGAGACCACAAACGGAGCACTAGCAAATCCAATCAGAGATGCATCAAGATACCTTATTCAAATCCTTACTTACCGACCACAACCAGAGACCACAAACCGACCACCAGGAAATCCAATCAGAGACCACAATCAGAGAGCACAAACGAAGCACCAGAAAGTACAATCAGAGACCACAAACGGAGAGCATCAGAGAGACCAGAGGTTTTGCCAAAACGGACACCAGCAAGCCCAATCAGAGAGCACAAATGAAGCACCAGAAAGTACAATCAGAGACCACAAACGGAGCACCAGAGAGACCAGAGGTTTTGCCAAAACGGAGCACCAGCAAGTCCAATCAGAGAGCACAAACGAAGCACCAGAAAGTACAATCAGAGACCACAAACGGAGCACCAGAGAGACCAGAGGTTTTGCCAAAACGGAGCACCAGCAAGTCCAATCAGAGAAACAAACGAAGCACCAGAAAGTACAATCAGAGACCACAAACGGAGCACCAGAGAGACAAGAGGTTTTGCCAAAACGGAGCACCAGCAAGTCCAATCAGAGAGCACAAACGAAGCACCAGAAAGTACAATCAGAGACCACAAACGGAGCACCAGAGAGACCAGAGGTTTTGCCAAAATGGAGCACCAGCAAGTCCAATCAGAGAGCACAAACGAAGCACCAGAAAGTACAATCAGAGACCACAAACGGAGCACCAGAGAGACCAGAGGTTTTGCCAAAACGGAGCACCAGCAAGTCCAATCAGAGAGCACAAGTGAAGCACCAGAAAGCACAATCAGAGACCACAAAAGGAGCCAGAAAATCAGCAAAAAATGCGTTTTTTTCTAGAGATTTCCATTTACACTTGATTTTAATTGGCCAGCTTACCCAGCTCTCCCAGTACTACTTTGTACTACAAAGCTTGCACAAAGCACTTCCCAGTACTACTTTGTACTACAAAGCTTGCACAAAGCACTTCCCAGTACTACGTTGTACTACAAAGCTTGCACAAAGCACTTCCCAGTATTACTTTGTACTACAAAGCTTGCACAAAGCACTTCCCAGTACTACTTTGTACTACAAAGCTTACACAAGCTAATTCCCAGTACTACTGCGGACTACAAAGCTTGCAAAAAGTATTTCCCAGTACTACTTTGCACAACAAAGCTTGCAAAAAGTATTTCTCAGTACTACTTTGTGCTACAAAGCTTGCACAAAGTACATCCCGGTACTTTGTAGTGCAAAGCTTGCACAAAGCACGTTCCATTACTACTTTGCTTTGACAACCCATGCCTATGTTGATGGCACCATGGAGCTTCCGCAGGCGTAGTGGAAAAAATGTTTTCTGATTTGAGCATGGCTGTATGTTGGGACTTCTGATCAGAGATAAACTCAATTTGGAGCATTTTTGTGGTGCTCCGTTTGTGCTGTCCAGTTGTGGTCACTGTTACAAGGAAGGGGAACATCCGAATATATATATATATATATATATACGTGTGTGTGTTTTTGTACTTGCTAAGGCTTTAAGGTATCAAATTACAAACAAATAGCCCACAACGACCTACCTACGCATTCATGTCTAATATGCTCAGTGAAGATTGATGTAAATCCAATAAGATTTACGCTCCCCAATCAAAATCCGTATTTGAAATGTGTCGGTAAACATCATTCCCAGTTGGTAGGTTTATGGCCTTGGGTGGATCCCACATCAGCTCCACAAATCCGTAGGTCGACAAGCTCTTCGCCAAGATGGATACGAACAAAGACCAGAGGCCAGTATGGTCATGCAATAGCCATAGGGTTTAGATAGTGATATACATTGAATGATGATAGCCATTAATTTCAAAGCGCCATATGTCGGTTCATTTTCTTGTCCATAGGTGGTGGCTGGGAATTCTGGGGGAACATGGCCCGCGCCAAAGCGTGGTGTTTAACTGGGTGTGGGCCCAGAGTGATCAGAGTTTCAGTGCCCGGCCCCTGAGTCCCAGCGATAGGATACAACCCAGCGAGTTTGTCGGGCGCTCAATGGCACTGCGGGGATGATTGACATTGAGCATGTCAAGTGCAACATGTCAACATCTGAAAAAAACATTTGCCCAAGCCCAAGGCCAGTGCGAGGCATGTTGGTGCATCCAGTAGGAACCTATGAGCTTAATTATAATTCATCTGAATTCACATGCAGGTAGATCATGGATCACGATTACCCCTAGGCCCTAGTCAATGCCAGTTATGCCACTGTAATATAGTGTTCTCCGATGATGTTTTCACTATCATTATTTCTGGCCCCCAAATGATCATTTGGTGTGATTTTTACATTATATACATATGCAGTTGAAAACGTACATATGTAACTATATTGGTATTAATAGCTTCATTGTCGTGAATTCATGTTCAAATACCTTTTTCTCATCCGTGGCAACCACTCGCCTCCGTCAGACAGGCAGCACTCGCAGACAGACCCGATGGCCAATTGATGAATACTATATATATATAATCCCTTCCCCCTAATACTAAACGTCCCCCAATAATAAACTCCTCAGGTAGTTTTTATTATTAGGGGTGTATTTATTGTTAGGGAACCTTATTAATAAATTTAAAACCTTAATGATAAAAACATTTTTTGATTTCAAAATCAATGAGATTTCCTTATATAACGCAATTAAAATAGTGGCAAAAATTGGATTTCGAAGCGGACCCTATAATTAAATCTAAAACTTTAATAAAAAAACTATTTTTTCGATTTCAAAATCAATTAAGTTTCCTTTTATAACGCAATTAAAATATTGCCAAAAATTGGATTTCGAAGCGGACCCTATTAATAAATTCAAAACCTTAATTATAAAACCTAGTTTTTCCGATTTCAAAATCACTTATGAAATTTCCTTTTATAACGCAATTAAAATATTGCCAAAAATTGGATTTCGAAGCGGGCCCTAATAATAAATTAACATCCTTAATATAAAAAACTAAAAAATCGGACGGACCCTAATAATAAACACCCCGGGGTAGAGTAGTTATTATTAACAGGGGGGGAAACCCATAAATGGTATCTGGTAGCTTTTTTAAAATTGTTTTCTAAAGGGGATCAATTAAAAATCAATTGGCCAACCTGAAATTTTCCAAAGTGGGAGATGGACCCTAGTTTTTAGTATTTGGGGGACGTTTAGTAATAGGGGAAAGGATTATATATGCATGCTATCCATGATTACATACTACACACATATACAAATCATATATTTACTACATAATGGACAGCAGCAGAAAACACAGATGCACTGGTCATTTTCTTGACCCTTTCCCACATCTTTAGCTACCTCTTCCGGTGCAAATCCCACCTTTTTCTGGCAACCTCCTGATTGATCAATTGGGATTATTCACGCTTCAGCCATGATTCCTCAAAAGCCGAAAGCTTGTAGTTTTCCTTTAAAGGAATCCATTGAATCCCAGTCAACCCCACCAGAAAATCCCATCAAATCCTAAGCTGGACTGGGACTGGAAGCCATTTTCCCTTGAAACCTCCACTCTTCACAGCTTGAGGTGGACTTCATCTTCAGTTTCGCCGACCTGGGAGATGCCGCAGTGGCTCGTTGACAGTGGGGACTTGGGATGGTGATGGGATGGCATTTTCAGGAACTACTGTAGGAGGGTCTTTATCTACATGAATTTTGGAGGGGTGACTCATTATTGTTTTTTAATGTATTGATATGTGTTCAGCGCCCCCACATATGTATAGCGATGGGGAGAGAGAGAGAGAGAGAGAAAAAAACATATATATATATATATTATATACATTTATTATAGGTAACTATAGTGACCTCACCGCGGACCTCACTGGAATCATGCTTGGTAAGGGGAATCATCCCCAGATGGCCTGATCTCAGGTTAGTGAATCATTATAGTTTACCTTGATGTATACATGTCGTATAGATATATGCATATTTAAATATGTATATATATAATATACAGCTATTACTATCTATAGATATACATGGTGAGGCTCCGTTTCCGATAGCAAAGTGGGCGCACATAACGTGGTTAAATCCAACTAATAGCAACGGAATGATGTAACATGACCCCCAATAGGGGCTATATATTATGGATGTATGCATTTACTATGGTTAACCCAGTCAACCCTTTAACTTTGTTCTTTTTAATAAGTAAGCCATCGTTAAATATCAGCTTTGCCACTTTGCATACATAGCTAGATACCTACATACTTCCATACCTCCATACCTCCATGCCTACATCCATCCATCCATCCATCCCTCCATCTATCCATTCATCCATCCATCCATCCATCCATCCATCCATCCATCATACATACATACATACATACATACATACATAAATACATACATACATACATACATACATACATACATACATACATACATACATACATACATACATACATACATACATACATACATACATACATACATACATACATACATACTACATACATACATACATACATACATACATACATACATACATACATACATACATACATACATACATACACATATACATATACATACACATATACATATACATACACATATACATTTACATATACACATACATTTACATTTACATATACATATACTTATATATATATAATAATAATAAAAATAATGTTTGTTTTGTTCTGCACCAGCCATCTTTGTTGTACTATATTTGATGATTTTTCATGAATGCATATGGTTGCAAACATCTCGTTGCAGGAGATGAAGATGAGGGAAGCCACAGCGTCGATGGACCAACACAGCGAGGAGGATGCAAAGTACAGGCAGCTACGCGGCGGTGTTCACTGTGAACACATGAGCAATGTTGAAAACCCCTGTTAGTTGATTATTCAAAATTATAGGGGGTTGTACTAACCAATATAGTGGAAAATATTATGGATTATTACAATCCATGAGCAGGCAACCTATTCTCAACCGACCCAGGGCAAGCGGCTCTTCACCGCTCCAAAATTCAGAGCCCGATCTGAGGCGTGCTTTGGTGCATCCTTTGGAAATTCGTTGGGTAGGAGGGATCTAAGGAGCTATGGGTCTCTAGATATCCTATGAAAATTGACAAGATGGAAAAAACATGGAAAGTACAAAAAAGGAGTTATATAATGTTTCGTGCTGACTAGTGTGTACCCCTCCTCCAGCAATAGCTATACTCTCTTTAAAATTGGGTGTCCAAAAATTCCTCCCCTGAAAAAATACGATCCAGCAATTTAAGTAAAGATTTCAATTGGCGACAATTGAAATCTAATTAAAACTGTTTTTTTTCCCAATAAACTTGTGATATTTTTAGTACATGTAGTACATGTAGGACTTGTAGTACTTGTAGTATTTGTAGTACTTGCAGTGAGTGCGGTTCAGCATGTTGATTGCTGACCTTTTCCATTTTAAGTTTTCTTCTTAATTCCTAATGAAACATGTAATAAGAGAAAGAGAAAGAGACAGAGAAAGAGAAAGAGAAAAGAGAAAAGAGAGAGAGAAAAGAGAGAAATATAAAGAGAAAGATAAAGAGAAAGAGAAAAAAGGGGGGAACGAGAGAAAGAGAAAGAGAGAGAAAGAGAGAGAGAGAGAGGACGAGGAAGAGGAAGTGTTCTTTAATAAGGGTTTAATAAGCGATCTGATTGTTTTTGGACAGGTGTGGACTTTGAATTTGGCAATTGCTTGTGTAAAAGGTTTTTCTTTCTTCTCTTGGCTCCAGGATCAGCTCTGCGAAAAAGTGCTGCAATTGTGAACCTTGAGAACAAACCTACTAAAGTGAACTGGACCCTCTCATGACCCAATGCCTTGGAAATGTGTGGAAAAACTGTTCTTTAATAAGGGTTTAATAAGCGAGCTGATTCTTTTGGGAACGGCAGACAGGCACTATTTGCTCCCAAAAAAAAATGATTGGTCCTCCTAGATTTCTTGCAACAATAGCGAGCCTGCTGAACAATGCATGGGTTCAGAATAGTTTGCATTTTTTTGGGCACAACAGCGAACCTCGCAACTAATCAGGATACAACATTACTAATTTACAACCACATGAGAAGCAACCAGTTCTGATTTTCCAGGAAGATCTCCAATTGACAACTGTCTTTCAGGGGGTTGAAACAAAAAGTGACACAGATGATACAGTAACCATGGTTAAAGTCATAGTTGCCCGTTTCGAATTAGAGAAAACTTTATTGAACAAAAAATATGACAGATCAGTGCAGATGGAAGGCTCAAAAATATCGACACGACCATGTCGACCTTTACCTTGGACATTGGAGGCACTTTGGGGCAGGTCTGGCCAAGGCATCCGAGCAACCATGAGTTTGACCATGGGGGGCTTACCAAAAACCAGGTTCGGGTTCCAAACCAACATGATCTTGGAGGGGTTACCTATTTTTTGGACCAACCTATATAATAAATGATATATATAAATGAAGGAAATGAAGGTTTTTCCTTGCTTGCATCCTTAGTACTCTAAAGTTTTGTCGAGTTCCACAGAAAACTGACAAACAAAGCTCATGTTTCACTGGTTCTTGGAATTAACACATGTGTACTGCCTTTCCCTCCCTATATGGATGATGAATGTGCATTGGTGATGAATGTGCGTTGGTGATGAATCTGCGTTGGCCAATGACTGACCTTTTCAGTGCCTGTTGCCCCATGTTTGTTGGCATCTCCATGATATCCCGCAACCCTTGCCTTGGCCGTTGCTTGGCTTGGGGTGGCGATGGGTTACCACCAAGCAGCTGCTGTCTCTGTTGAGATGTCGCAGGAGAGGAGCCTGATTTGCCAGATCTTCTGTCGAGTCTCAGGGCCATGAACGCACAGGCCTTGCGTGAGGCCTGACAGCGGTGGGGTTCTTGATGTTTTTGTATGTTTTTGTTTCAATTTGTGATCTATTTATATCTATTTATTGTCTATCCATCCACATGTATCCATCAATCCATCCATCCATCCATCCATCCATCCACAGTATACCTATAAATAGATATGAATAGGCTATCTCTCTATTTTTCTCCTTTAATTATAATATATATATATATGCTGATATATGCTGTATTTTTGTGTAGGCACACATAGCGTAAAATCAAACCTCTCTATATAAACATATGTCAGCATGCATGTGTTCAGATATCAAGGTACCTCTCACGTTTGTGATCTCATGTTGATGCGCATATGGATGAACCCAATTCAGTTGGTCGACGGATGTCGATGGTCACATGTGACGTCAATTGCTTTACGTCTATCCCTGTAAGAATCCTACGGTTTTTATCCTCTAGACGTCCCTTGTTCAATGATCAGTTGCTACATCCCAGCAGTATGAAACCTGCAACGGCAGCGCCCATGATGGCACTAGGTCTTCCAAAGGACTGACGTCAGCAAACGAGGATTTTTGCAATTGAATGACATCAGGAGCCTTGGTTACCGAGCCTGGTTGCTTTTCAAGGATCTGGTTACATAAGGTATGTTTCAGGTATGTTCTGTTTCTCTCACACAGACATGGAATGAAACGGATAGAATCAAGGAAAAGTTATAAGTTATATATATATATACAAGAAAAAGCGGCAGCTTTCCATCAGCCCTCGACACGCTGGACTGTTTTGTTCTTGCATGATTTGCAGGAGAGTGCTTTTTCCAAGCAACGTGCAATCTGAGAGTGACAACTTGGCAGTGGTGTGGCTTCGACTCAACTGGATTTGGAACTCATGGAGACCAGGGAAGGATTGCAATGAGTTTATTGTAGTTTATTTGCGAAGATTTGTTGAGAGAAAAAAGATCTTGTGGGGATTCGTGTTGAGCAAAATTCTTACCAAGTGGTTAAGGTTCAAACAAACAAAAACACAGAATAAAACAAAAAATAGCTTTAGAACATGTGATTGCGTGACCCCACATTTTAATAGCTGATATACACCCCGGACAGCGCACAAGAACCTTATTTGCATGCACTGCGAGTACGGGACACACGTGTCAAGAGGAAGTTCCAGTCTGAAATGTCCAAGTCACCACAGGTTTGGGCAGCCAATCCATGCACATGATAAACTACGTAAGACAGCTGCATGGTTTGTGGTGGTTGCTGATAGAACAGTTTCCGGCGCTGTACCCGGTTCGCCGGTTCGACCCAGGAAGGTTTTCGCACAAATGGACAAGAACAGTGATGGAAAGGTCCACTGCGGAGAGTTTGTATCTTGGCTCTGGATGGACCATGATGGACCATGATATCCAGACTGGATTGGCGGCAGGGCTTACGGGATACAGCTTTCGATGCCTCCAAATCACCTCAAAATTGACATGAATTTGCACGACCTATCCATCTCTCTGCAGACTCCGATTATGATCTATATATTTATCTATATCCTACCATGCCAAATTTGCACCAACGCATGCAATACAAAAAACTTAAATATATATATAGGTATATGAATATACATGTATACAGATCTTTACCCAAACTTGTCGGATTTAATCCCACTGTTCATTATTGTTCAATACATGTTCAATACTTGTTCCCATGCCAGTGACTGACGAAGGTGTCGTACATCTTAGAAGGAAAACGTTGCTTGGATAATATTTCAGCAGGAGGGACGCGAGTTGATTTCATCACATCATTATACCGCTGTGTTATGTGTTGTTCCGTGTTGGTTGCATCTATTCTGTCAGAGGAAAATTCATTAAATGCACCCAAACTTACACTCAGTTACACTAACCAGTGCTTGTCAAACTATTCATTATTGATTCGTTCATTGAAGTGAGTATAACAACTTCTTTTCACGCACATGAACTCGAGGTGGTTGAAAGGCAGATCATGAATCTGCGGTTCTGTTATATTCCGTCAACATCCCATGGAGGGAGCGGGATCACATGATTCACCAAGATGGCGATCGAGAGAGTTAGGGGGCGAGAGATGCAACACGTATCATGCAGTATTCAACAAATTTATGTATTGTTATAAACTATAAACTGTATTAAACTGTCTTGATCCGTTTTGGATGTGCACACATACACACATATAACATGATATAACATCATATAACATCATATAACATTTATAATCATCTATATATATAGTTATATACAGTACATATATAAACAATGTTCAGATACCACTGTAATACCATGATCCACGGGATATCATGTAAGCCCCGTTGCTAGGCCGCGTCTCCCGCACGGCCAGCGCGGCGGACAAGCGCCAAATGGCCACCGCCTTCGCCAAGGGCGATGCCAATGCGGATGGACGGATCAGTATGGAGGTCCCGGACAAGTCTGGTATATCAAATTACCCTCTGGTAAACATACAAAAAACTATGGACAATCACCATTTTTAATGGGTAAATCATTTTTTTGGCAATTTTCAATAGCTATGTCTATGTTAAATTACTAGAGGGTATTGATGGTGGAAAATTATATTTAATATATATATATATATATATCATATGTTTATATATCTGTTTAATCACATATGTATTTGTAGATATATGTATATAGAATATGTTACATTGAATATAATATATATATATGTTACATTGATATCATGGTGGTGGTACCGGCATTATATTTATTTATATATGTGTTTTTATTTTTTATTTTTTATGTTCATTTGTTCATGTTTGGGTACATCATATGTTGACATCTACGTACACTTAGATGGACCAAGGACTTAGTCAACTGATTAGAAACCATTTGCGAGAGATGACGCGGTTGAAGATGAGCCACGAAAAACGGGGCAACAATGGACCCACAAAATGGATCATTCCATTCATTTGGAAAACCCAAATTGCAGCCTTTATGAACAACCATGCCTTTTTTTGTTCAATGATTCACGAGTATTGCCAAGTCGGGGATATAGGTTAAAGCTTTAATTGCTTCCTTCAGTAGGTGCCATTTACAATCGTAATTTCTCATCCTTTAGGGCACCATCCTGATTAAGCAAGCAGGTTCTTTTTGCCCTGGGTTAATACTAAGGGGGAACAGGAAGATCACCAGCAATGGATGTTGTGCACACAGTAACATCATGGCCATGATCACTGGCCTTGCAAAGCCGCAGCTAGACGAAGCAATGACATTTCCCCAAATTTTTCGTGGAATCTTCAATAAATAAACAGTATGACACATGTCTATGTGTACATGTATATATATATGTATTCATATACACATACATATATATATATATTACATTTATGTAAACATTTTTATACGTATATACATATACATATATATATATGTATATACGTATATAAATGTTTGTATACATATGTATAAATATTAATATATATATATACATATGCAGATATACATACCAACGGATATGGATACACATATGCATACATATACGTATATGTATACACATATGCATACATACATATGATATTTAAAATACACACATGCATCACCTTCTACTTCACTGTACCTACACTTACCACTTTTGAAGAATGAAGCTTTCTTTGCTTTTCAGTTTCAAGTATTTTCCATGTTCATCCTTATTGTGAATGATAATCCCAACCGTTTTATTGTTGAGCGGTGGCTCAGCCATCGGTCACTTTACACTCTGGTAATCGATCATGGATCGACACATTCATTTTTAGATGGTTGTACTACCAAAGATAGGGATTTCCTACCCGCCTAGCCATTCGCATTTGATTGCCAAAGAGTATGACCCAATTTGGTGAAACAAAAAACACTAGTTCAATTTTTGTGAAACTGACCAATGTCATTCAATACCAAATGTTCAGATATTTGGACGACAAATCCTCCATTCATCACAAGGCTGTTCCAACCTTCTATTTGGCAAATGATAGCCACACATGGGTTTTATTGTAATTTTAGCTCTCTACCAATTGTCACCTCAAACGCTGTTGCTAAGCTGCATTTCTTGAGATTTGTGGCAATAGTAATTTTAAACCTTTTCTGAATCTTATTGGGGGTACTATCGGCATTAGATGACACATACATAGCTATGGGAAACGACCACTTTGTAGATGATCTACCGGTCTACCCATCAAACATAGCTACTTTCCATAGTTATGTTAATTACCAGGGTGTAAATCCCATTCTGTTCCCATCAATTGCTGATTGCACCCTTATGTTTGATGGTCAATCCTCATACTCGCATTTCTATGGAAACGAAAACAACAAGTTTACCATAAGCAAATCTAGGTTTTGCTGATTTTTCTCTTTCCATGGCGATGGCATGCCTCGTTTTCCGCAGGAGTTTGAGCGGCTCTTCGGTGCGCAGACGGACTTTGACCGCGAGATGTTGCGCAACGTTTTTGAGTCGGTGGATCAAAACCAGGTGCGGCTGGAGATTTTCACCCGAAATGGTGAACTCAACTGAAGCATTGGGTGTGAGAATGGGGGATGCCACAATATCCACGGATGGCAGTTTTAATTTAATGAGGACAATTAACACTGCACCCACGAAAGTGATAGAATGTCTAGCAACATGGCAGACCCCGCGGTGACGTTCACATTATGTTGAATTTATGAATCGAACATACCAACATTATACCCCCTTGTTGCATATACATTGTTGGATTCGATCTTTACCATTCATCCCTTCCCTCGTGTGTATTAAACTAAACACCCCCAGTGTATGATCCCAAAAACGTGGGTTTTTCTATACCCCAAAATCATCATGGTTTCTTGGGGGTGTTTGATATGATTGGGGTAATGAATTACCAGAGCGTATGACAATTCAACAGTCGAAAAATGTTGAATCTATTAAGATGGTGGTTTTCCTTGGCAAAATGCTTAGTTTACCAGACGGTAAATTCCATTGTAGTTGGTTAGTTCAAAACCACTATATGGGTGCAAGTCAAATTATAAGGTCCGGAACAAGGTCCGGGACCACACCCGTTCCATACCCCCGTTCCATACCCCCGTTCCATACCCCCGTTCCATACCCCCGTTCCATACCTGTTTGAAGGATCCGTTCCATACCTTTGTTCCATACCTTTGGTCCATACGTCATGATATATATATACATATATATATACATACACAATAAGTATATATTTGAACATGTGCAGTCTGATTTTACATGTGTACGCACATACTTGGGCGCACATACATACATGAGTGCGAACATGCAAGAATACGTTTACTATGGCCAAGCCCTGTGATTGTGTTGGCAAGTCTGTGCCTGCAGCACCTACAGCTGCTACCAACTTTGTTGTGTGATGGTAGGGGTGTGCTTGGCTGTTGCCAGCTGGCAGTCTAAGAATTGCTTGCTGCGCTACTCTCGCTCCAAACTGCCAGTTTTATCCAATTTTGATAAAGATGTGCTGCGTGGTGGCAGAGCTGTGCTGGAGTGGGCCGTTTCGTTCCAGCCCGTTCCATACCTGTTCCAGACCCGGACCACCCATGTACCACCCCTGACCCACTTCCGGGTGAACAAATGGCAGGTTCTCACATGTACATAGACTGCTCCTAAGCCATCCTTTGTGCGTGGCTTATGGGAGCCTAGAGTCTTGCTACACAATCTACCCCATAGGGACCTCTGAGTTTTAAGAGTAGGAGGTGGGACCTGCGTGACAGGTCTGAAGCTGAGTTAAACTATCATGTGGTATATGTTTATATTCCCGTTATATGATAAACTATTATTCCCATTGGTTTATGATTCCAGATGCCATATGAATCCACTATTCTTGAATGGTATATTCCCCATGGCAATCCCACTAATATCCGATTGAATGGTACCCTAGGGTTAACTGACACATAGATGTGGAACATCAACCATTTGTCGATGATTTTCCTAGGGAAACCAATGAGGTTTTCCACATCTACGTTAGTTTACCCTAAGGTACCATAGTATTTTACGTTGATCCCGTGGAGTTTGCCAAGGATGGTGCTGTGTCAATCGTGGAGCTGGCGGAAGTCTATGGAAAGGCGCTCGTCCACTCGGGGGTTCTAAAATCAGGGCTTGATATTGTATGACACTGTACTTAATCATATATATATATATATGAGTATATGAATATATGTGTGTGTATAAATAAATAAATATACATATATATATATATATCGGATTTGCAAGACTACATACAAATAATGTGTGTACATATATATATATATACACGCATTCGAAAAATTTGTGTTGCCACTTACGTGAATTGTTTGGGTTGCAACTAGCCATATAGATCCATATGCATCCAGGCAAATACGTCCTTTTGACAACTCCCAGAGATCCGATCAAGTCCATCTGATAAATCCCATATCAAACATTGTCAAACCATCAAATACTTTGAGAGCCATATAATTCCAACATACACAAGATCCCTCGCTCAAGCTGTTTTCCTGTGGATCCTTAAGTGATGTGCAAAAGCTGAAGTCCAGCTTCGACAGGAAAGTCTCTACAATTCCATATTAAAATTCAAAAATTGTCCATTTACATCCTTGTACATCCCAGTTTTCAATGAAAAATGTCATGATAAATTTCATAATTAGAGTGTTTTAGAAATCCTATGAAATCCTCGTTGCGATCTGTTGTTAATCCCATCCGTTGCGATCCCCGAGGAGCTGATCCAGGAGGCCAAGGGCATCACGGTGTCGGGTGCAATGGATGGAGGTGCCGCGGTGCTCGGTGAAAATATGGCATGGTTTTGACTAAAAATGGGGTATGGCCTGTACATGATTCTAAATGACCATTTTAATGATATATATATATATATTCATATATGTATAATGATTGTAACAATTAATAGCAATAGTAATAGTCATAGTCGTCATAGTCATAATAATAACGATCATATAATCCTTTGGAATTGGGGATGCGCTATTTTTAGACAAATCCATATAGAATATACTGTAACACTTGCGGAGCTATTGGAGGATTAACCATCAATAATTGGGAAGACACAGAGATGTGGTGTATAATTGAACTTGATGGCCCATAGTCCCATAGGTTGATCACTTGCGTTTAGATTTCGTAAAATGATTTGGAGGTTTCCAAAGTCATGGGCACCCCAATAGCTGGATGGCTGGATGGAAAATCCAGGAAACAAAACAAAAGAGGATGATTTGGGGGAAAGTTAGGAAACCTCCGTGTATTCTATAGAATCACATCCCCCGATCATATTAACCATCTCCATTCGATGAACCCAAATAAGTGTAAATCCCGTAAGAAACCATGGTTAACACCTCCGATTTATGGTGTTTTTGTTGGTGCTGTTTTAACATTACTAACATCGATTATATATATATATATATGCATGTGTAATGTACAGCCACTTCAAGAAGTGACCCTTTGATATGTTGGTTCCCAAAATAGTTAACTTAAGCAATGGGATCCAGCATCCCCAGTGACTTACCATTTTGATGGGTAGTATAAACCATCAGAATATGGGTGGTTTATGACATTGCTTTACTCACATTACATGGGGATATATTGCAGGATTAACCATCAACAATTGGGATTTAGTGACATTTATTCGGCTTCATACATATATATATATATATGTATATATATATATATATATTTATGTATGTATATATATATACAGAGAGAGAGAGAGAGGGAGAGAGAGAGAGAAAGAGAGAGCGAGCGCTGGATGAAGAATATTGACCTCACACTGTGATGTCACGTTTGTAGATGGGGAGCTGTCCATCATTCCAGTGAATAAGTGTTCTCCAGCCAGTAATTATATACACAAATGGATATGATTGGCCATGTATTGATTTCAAGTAGTAGATATTCCAAGTATAACGAGGATATATATATACATATATATAACCACAATTTGATGGAATTGATGCTCAATAGGTTTTGGGTTGTGTAGGTAGTTAGCTTCATTGATGGTTAGTAGTGAATATTTGTTGCTAATTCACCAAAAGCGGATATACCTCACTGCGACATCACTGGGGTGTTGGGAATTGGATTGGGATAACTATTTCCCTTTGTGGACCGCATTTTAGTTGGGTGAATTACTTAAATTTGTCAATATATATATATATAATATATGTGTATGTGTGTATACATGTACATATGTCATAATAAAGAACTATTTCCATCGAATTGCCAATTTACAGCTATAGATATGCGTCTCTATTTGTGTATATATATATATGTTCGTTTATATTTATATATATATATATACACGCATGGAAAATAAAGACTGTCAGTATATACAGGAAACCCAGTATGAATGAATAATTGGAGTACTGTAGGCATTACTTCCCCAAACAAAGTTCAGAACAAGTTTTATTGACCACAGTGTTTATCAAAAAAATGTGATGTGATGAAACCCAGAATCTAGAAATGTCCATGTTCATTATTCTCCAATCCCTTTTTTGGGCTGTTCCATGCTCCTGTTCCCTAGGGGAAAATTATGATGCCAGCCAAACAGCTGCAGAGTGTAAACCCTCAATATTCACTGTTTTTTCTTGATTGATATGCTGTCTGAACTAGATACCTGGTATAGGGTCCAAGCGAATTACCAAGAGTTTCCAGGCAGGATTTTACATTGGAAACCGCATCATGTTGTTTTTGGTGCACCCTAAACATAAATGGAGGAGGTTTCCTAAAATGATGGATCCCCAAAACCATGGGCTTCAATACTAAAATCGTCTCATGGTTTGGGGGTACTGTACCTCTATTTTAGGAAACCTGCGACTCTCCAAGAAAACCCTGCAGGCGATGAGGCCTCGAGCGATGGAGACTGACCATGGCCCGTCCTTTTGCTGATATTCTGATGGCAAAGAGCTTGAGTTATCGGTGGTGATCGATTTCTGTGTGGTCGAAATGAATGGTCCGAGGACCCACATTTGGTTCATCGATTTTGTTGTTATCATGCTCAACAGTCCTAAGTTTTCAAATGCATCCAAGTTTGACACGTGCCCATTTGTGTGGAACGCGAGTCTCGCCAAACCTGTTTTAAGAGATGTCTCCAAGAGAACCATCTCTGCTAATGAGACTGGTTGCTGCCACCGAGCAGAAAACCATGAGTGTTGTAAAAAGGGGCGCGTTTCCAACAATCCTTGGACCGCAATAACTGAGAAACCCTGGTTTAGTAATAATGAATGGATTTGTTCCTTCGGGGATTGCAACTATGGGGGTGCATTGTTCCGTGAGGACAGGTTATTCCCCCAATTGATGGCTTGTCATTTTGTTGGGTAGGTTTGGAGACATACCCTTTCGGAATCAAATATGGCAACGGAATATCACGATTGGGAATTTACGTGAACGTTCATGAATACCAGAGAATGTCCATGGAAAGTCGCGAAACTGCCTATTTGCCGTCAGTTTTTGTTTCCATCTCCATTTTTGTTGCTAAATTAAAGTATATACCTCTTCTGTTGTTTCAATGCATTTTTTTGTCGGTTGAATTTTAATGAAATGCACTTGTTTGAGTTGTTTTTTTTTCCTCGTCACGCATGATTATCCGCCAATCAGTTCCTCACTGGGTCACACAGGAGCTCTTGGATATATGGTCATCGTGCATCCCCGGCAAGAAGCCCTTACTGTACCATTTTCTACTTCTACTTCTGGAATCCGATGTTCAGGAACATTCCAGTAATATCCGTATGAACATGTACACCCTGCATCATATATATATATATATATATATATACATGACATGACATGACATGACATGACATGATATGACATGACATGACATGACATGACACTCGTTACATTACGTACGTACGTACATACGCACATACCTACATACCTACGTATACCTACATACCTGCGTATACCTACATACGTACTGTAGGTATGTGCCTACATACCTACATCCCTGCATCCGTACATTCCTCCATCCCTCCATCCATCCATCCATCCATATACATGGGACATGTTTCATGGCGCTGTTCTATGCCCAGGTTAGATCCATTGAATCTCAGAGGAATTCTCCTGGGTTCCCGGTGTTTAGTTCCAAGAGTTCCAAGCGCCCGCACCACCAATGGCCTGAAATTTGCGCTCTGCGCGATGTGAGCTGGGCCATGAAAGTTGTGAAACCCAGATTGGATTACAGGGCCTGGGCACTTCTTTGGGTGAAGAGTATAGTCTAATAGTTTTTTTTTTTGTTGTACCATACAAAAGAATGAATATGTCATAGTTCACAATTCATAACCAGATGAACGTTGGCTTTTTGGTTGCTGGGTTTTTGAGATCCATCAACAAGACAAGCCCGGCCCACGTTTAGGGTACCCAGTTTTCAGCGATATCCACGCAGTGGGGAACCCAGATCACTTGGTCCTTCTTGTGTAATTACAACCTTTGGCTACAAAGACCTAGATTGCCTCAGCAGGTTCTTCATGCAAATATATCAAAATGCCACAGCAACTGAGTTTATCATGATGGATGCCCTCTAAAACTGTGATTGTTTCAACTTCACAAGGTATCTATGTAAACTTTGGATCATTGCCTAATCTGTCATTCTTTATCGGCCATTTCCAGTCAAATCGGGCGAAATCTGTAGGAAATTCCGGGTCGCTTACAGCTAGTGACACCTTGTGGTGCATGTCACACCGACTCACAGCCAGTAAGCAACACCAAAATAGATGGCGGTGGAAGCCTGGAAAATATGTAATATTATGTAATATTATGTAATATTATGTAATATGTCTATATATATATATGTCTTATCTTCCCAAGATCTGCCGTGATTCCAACCCTCCCAAATTTGGTTGAAAGAAGCAAAAGACAGGAATGGTGCCCAAATAATCGCCATTGATTGGTAAAAGAAATTCGATCATAAAATATGTATAAACCATCAATATAAACCATCACTACCATCAAACCACCATTATATACATACCACTAAATCATCAATTAAAAACCCATGAAATCACCCATTACTGCAATGTCATCATTTCCATTTTAGCAACGCAGCCAGTTGAGGCGTCCAGAGAAGCTTGGAGTAGAACCACTTGAGTCTGCCTGGGAAAAAACCTCAAAGTCTAATGGTTTATCACAATGTTCAATAAAGTGTAGTTATTTTTTGGGTATATCCAAGAGGTATATCCTATTGTTACAATTTTCCAGATATGTATAATATATATATGTATATATATATATATTGTAATGCCTTGTATGCGTGTGTGCATTATTATTGTCCTTACCAAAATTGTTATTTGGGCGTATATTCCATTTTCATACACACCCACTTTGTGATTTGGAAAAGTCACGAATGAACCCATACCCATCCATACCTCGTTGACAAATCTAGTTTCATGTTTGATAGGACTTGATTGAAATGTGGGGTTTGCTGCTGCGTTTGCCGCTTATTGTAAAACTGTGTATGACTGGGATGTAAGTGGGGTATACCTTTGGTAACTGTCTTGAAGAATCATCCCAGCATGGGCTCTTGAACCCAAGCAACAATCAAGAACCGGTCTATGTTTGTAAGTGAATCGATTAAACATGATTGAACAACTAAACTAAACTGGTAGTGGGCCATGTCGCTTCCAAGGAATGGACTGTGGATCTCCACGCCCTTCCCTGTGTTGGTGTCTCCTCTCAGCCAGGAACTTTGTAACCTTCTCCGGGTTGGGGTTGGATCTGGAAGAGAATATGGCAATACTCCAAGTTGATATGGTCAAACTCCGCTGGTTCTTCCAGAAGGCATTCATAGCAAGGCCTGCCTGCATGGCCCGCCTGCATCCCAAGGCTTCAGATTGGCTGGTTTGAAAAATGCATGACATCCCAACTGTTGTTGTTTTGGGGTTAATAATCTATACTCTATAAATAATTAAATCATATTAAATTATATTGATTACTAATGATTACCGGTGTACATCCCAAAACTGGGTGTCAAGTGATGTGCGCTATGTTTTTGACCCACTGACAAAGTGGTATGCGCGTGCGAGCACATATTAACTTAATCCCAAACCTCTTTGCGTATAGTATAATATTTACGTGTATGTATAAACGTATACACACATATATATATATACATACATGCGTTTCTTTTTGTGAATGGCAATATGTTATATTTTATGTATATATATAGATATAAATAAATATATTATAAGCTAGCATCCCTGGCGTAATTACATCGCAATAGTGAATAGAATTGTTGATTTGGATAAGGTTCTGTGGTAGCCTTGCGGCCCTTTGGCATGAAACAATGGAAACATTGCCACAATCATAAACCATGGCACAGCGACATATCACCATGCCAATATCCTCCAATTTATGGTTTGTTTCTGAACATTTACGTCAACACATGACCCAGATGTAGGTAGCGACACGTATGCACACATACGCAGAGACACACATGCATTGCATTACAATACAGTGCATTGCATTGCATTGCATGACATTACATCACACAGAACAACGCAATTCAATTCAACACAACTCAACACAACATGCATAATTAGATATGGTTCAATGTGTATATATATATATATATATATTCACTTATGTGTGCACATATGCAAATGGAACACTTATGTTTAACGACACCTCAGTTCAGGTTAGTGTGTTACTTATGTTATTACATTGTAATTATCCATGGTTTGTGTATTTATATATATATATAGATAAATATGTATGTTTATATATATATATACATACCTGAAAGGAATGATGGAGCATGTCAATGATATCATTCCATTTCAGCTCAAGATTCTTGCGAGATCGACATTTCCAAGCCAGATCCAGTAGGTTTCATATTGCATGTGCACGGTGTGTAGGAATTAATTTTACCACTCCGTGAAATGAACATCAAGTGGATTTCCCCAAATAACTGGTATCTATTTTCACACCTCACGGCATGTTTAACTTGACACGATTTCAGTCGGATTTTTTCAGGAGTTTGACGAATTCCCAGGATTTTCCCAGGATTTTGGACCACGTTTTCTCTCTGAAAATGTGGACCTCCCAGGGGCCGGCAGCAGTGTAGTGGACGGTCTGGAACTGAGATGGCTGGGAACGGTGGGAAGGGCGGCCGCGGATCATCTCCAAATGGTCGCTCTGTGGCATTGGCTTTCCCACATGATAATAACATATAGCAACCTATACAGTAATTCTATTATTTAATGTGTATATATATATATATACACTGAGGTATACTGTAGTATGCAGAGTGTACTTATATGGAGATGTTTGCATTTGTATATATATATATATATTACATATGCGTTTTTCTGGTTTATATGATGATACACACACACATGCACACACACACACATATATATATATATAAATACACATATAGACGTACTTTTGGAAGTGGTTTTATCGATGTAGGTGTTTGCCAGTCTAACCTGGTCATGGAAAATCACACTGTTCAGCACGTAAATTGAAATAACTACATGTTGTTTGGTTGAGTGTTCATTGCGATTGATGGTCAAATCTAATTAGTTGCTGGCTGATTTATGATGGCTAAATTGATGCACATAACTTGGTTGACGATTGGCTTGGGATTTCCATCTAACTTGTAACTGCCGGGCCTCACCTTGTATGTATAATCCAATTATATGGTGACATATGTGTCTTTACCCATGACCATGTATGCGGTTTTCAATTCATAAATATGGAGCTGACATGCAAAAATTGGGTTTTGACTTTTGACTTTTGACCAGTAAAAAGTTCAGATTTCTCCATCAAACATGCAGAGTTCACCAGTCAAACACGGGGAACCCCCATGGGATCCGGTTTTGAGCCGAGGCAGACGCGTCGCCCGGCTGGTAATGGCTCAGATTCCTTGGGCCTCCGGGCGGTGCAGGAGCAGAGAAAACAGGCGGCCTGCGCCACCCAGGGCGGGTCGAGCTAGGCTGGTTTGGTTGGCTTTATGGGGTATACATGGAGGTTTCCTAAAATATCTAAATCATTCATTTTTATATGATTTTCCATTAATTATGAATGAACATCTAAAATAGGGGTACCCCGAAATCATCAATTTGTTTAATAGGATTTTCAATCATGAACCATCCATTTTTTGGGGATCCCCGTGTTAGGAAGCCATTATTTTTAAATATGAATATATGCACATATGTATACCATTCATGGGGGTTAGTTGGTTGGTGGCTTCATGTTGAGAACCCAACTGACGGTGACGACTGATATTTTGCAAGGGGTTGAAACCACCCATGCAGTTTGGAAAAATCTTTTGGGAACTTGTTTTTTTTTGTTGGGGGTTTCTTCAAATGAGGGATCCCCAAAGCCATGGGTTTCAACACTAAAATGGTTTATTTGGGGATGAATCTGGGAGTACACGCCATCTTAGGAAACATGCAATTATGTCTAAAGGAATTGGATGGGTGAATGTTGGGTGAGGGATGAGGTAAACTCAATGCTGATGTCCGCAATGGAGGTTTATGAAATCAGGTATGCCCTAGAACTAGGATGATGTTAATGGTTGGATTCTGGATGATTGTTCTTGGGTTCGCCGTGCTGAAATATCACTGATTGATACTATAGTTATATACTTTGTTTTGCAGCAATGCAATGTGATTCATACCTAGCAAGATGAATTCCTGGAAGTAAAAACCTGGCAAACTTGGTGCAACTTTTCACGCGTAGGTTCCTTT